AGAATACACAACTCAGTTCTGTGGGGAGACAGATTGGATCATTACAAAAGTCAACACATCATTATTTACTGTAAAACCACTGTGAAAAAAAAGTATAAAGTACTAAAACTGCATTCAGCTAGAGAGTTTTGCTGACTAAATGACTTTCAATTGAAATCTGGAGAAGATGAGATAGTGTAAAAAAATCACTCTGAATGTGGGGAGATATTTTTTATCCTATTCATAGAAGCTATAGAGTTAAGTGAGTCTCATCTGAACTGCTTAGGCAAGGTTTCACATAATAAATTGTGTCACTGCTTCCAGTTTCCCCAGCTGCCCTCCCCAGCTCTAAATCGGAAAGAGCATCCCCGTTTGAAAGAATAAAAGATTACTTTCTTTTGGATTCACGTCTGGGAGAACTTTGAAGCAGCTGACGGTGCCTTGCCTTTTTGCTAGAGTAGTAAGATGAATCATATCAAAGAACAGTTGTTTGCAAAGTCTGAGACAAGATCAAAATGCCATTTTCCTCTGAAACTGGAGCGTGTGTTTTGTAAAGACATCTCAGTGATATCTAGCAGGGAAATTTGTAGTCCGGAAATAGACTTCATACTGAGTTTCCACTGAGACTGAAACCAAAAAAGAAAGGGTCTCCAGGGAAAGGGTATAATCATGAGGTAAGAATGAGGGTTAATGCGAGTTCTCTTATCATACACTCATAAATGTTCTCTAGTAGCAGAATTAAAAGGGAAGTTACTCTAGCAGATGTTTTCAAATTAGCCAAAACCATGTCATAGAGTAAAGCAGCAAGCTGGAACTATGCCCAGATAGAGAGAGAGGAGAGAGAAAGAGAGAGAGAAAGAGAGAGAGAGAGAGAGAGAGAGAGAGAGAGAGAGAGAGAGAGAGAGAGAGAGACCTTCCCATAAGCCGCCTGAGGGAGCCAGTTAATGTCTCAGCCTTTCTGGTATAGATGGAGATGTCTAAACTAGGGAGATAAGCAAGTGCCAATCCGGCCCTCCTCTCCCAATTGCTTGTCCAAGACTAAACAAGGTCACCATCATTTCAAATACTAAGAAAACCTGGCAAGGTTGGATAGCTTAAACACTGCCAAAATACACTTCCTTTTGTGTTGTGGCTTACAAGTCTGACCCAAAAATCATTGAGAGAAGGAATAGCTAAGCATTGTCAATGATCACAGATAAGCAAATGATGATAAATGACTACAAAAAATAAGCAGTTCAGTTTAGGTCAAAATACATGTTGATGAGAATTTGCATTTTCACAGTAAAGCAACGGCCTTAATATCTGGTGTACAACAAACCCAAATGGAGCAAAGCATCCCAGCTATCCTGGATCTCATGTCAACAAGAAAAGGCCCAGGAATCTGAGCCAAATATCTATGTGTATGCATTCAGAGGAACCTGGGGGTGCAAAGTCCTCCAAAGTAGATGTCAGTTATTTTCTAGTAATCAGTAACTTCTACACAAAAAAAGGAAATTCCAACAAGAAAAAAGAAAACTTAATGAAGGAAGAAGATACCTCCCACTTATCACCCTATTTTACTTTTCTGGCTCTTACAGTTTACTACATTAAAGGATGTAAAATTGCTGAATCAAGAGTCTCTATGGAATACCAAGACTTTGTGTACTTGCCAATTTTTGTGCAATTAGAGTGATGAAGAGAAGACCTCAAAGAGAGATTGCATATCTTTTTAACCTCTCTATCAACACCCCATTTTTCTTATTCTCAACCACATTTTGCTTTGCAGATTTGTGAGTTGTAAGGTTACAGAACAACTAGCAACACTTGCTCTATATGGAGCAAGTCTATATAAACAGTTAATGCTTTATTTAGTAAAGGCACATGTCATATTATGCAACATTAATGACAAAATATAGTTTATCTATGTGGCACATGATATACACAATTCTTATTTGCATAAGCCAAATAGTCATGAATTGGGGGGAAAAGGAACTAATACTTGGCATCTCATAGAATAATCAGGCTGCATAATAAACTACAGTGAATAAATAAAGATCATTATTAAATCCTCCTCTGTTGGGGCCAGAGAGATAGTACAGGGAGCAAGGTGCTTGACTTGTACACGGCTGACCCTAATTCAATCCCCAGCACATCAAATGCTCCCCAAACCACAGACAGGCTAGTCCCTGAGCACCACTGGCTATGACCCCAAGACAAAATAAATAAATACTCTCTGTATTTATTTAATAATAAATATTTATTTATTTAATAATAATAAATATTTATAAATAAATATTCTCTGTTGTATAAGAGTATTTCAGAGCTTCCTAGGAACAACAACTACTGTAATTCCTGATAGGCCATATTTCACCTTTACCAAGCAATAATGGGAATCAGCCTTAAAAGGCCTCAAAATAAAAAGAAGAAAGTTACCTGGAGACCATTAAAGTAATTCAACTTTCTTCCCAAAAGCCGAATTATGAGTTCTTAGAATCTCTCAGCAATAGATGAGCTAACACACACTACGGGATGCTTTTGAACTTGTAAGTGTCTTGACAGCACACATATTTTCACAAAGCGAGGAAAAAGCTGCTGGTGTTTGCACTACTTTAAAATAAAAATGTACTAAGAGAACAGCACACCACAGACATAGACTTGAAGTATGGGAGGTGAGGATTGGAGAAAAGTGTTTAGATTTTTCAAGAGTCCTTTTAGGCTTCCTGAGTTTAGTAGAGGAGTTATCAAACAAAAAGAGAAAAGTTATCAAACAAGAAAAAATAAAACTATGTTTTGTCATTACAACTACATTGTTTTTTAATTAAGAAATAAAGGCAAGAGTGGTTTCTATAGTGATGAATTCTTCATAAAGTCTCCAATTGAAGGCTTCCTATAAGAAAACATCCTTTTACAAAGTTGCTGTGATGAGAGATGGCATTATCTATGGAAATGATTGAAGATATCTGAATCTATAATGAATCCTCATTATAAAAATAGTACCATATTATTTACTATTTTGAACTTTTAAATGTAATCAATGTCAGAATGCTGAATTATCTGTTTTCATAAATAAGTTGCTATACAAAAAATTTGTTCTTTTTTTTAAGTTGTGGCTAAAATCATTACCATTCTATCTAATCTCTAAATGAGTAGTTAAAACTTTAATTCCCCTCTTCCGAGTTTTAATTTTTTATTAAAAAATAATCAATATACATGGCTATATGGAACAAAGACATCTTTAATAGAGTTTAAGTACACGCAATTTTTTTTCCAAGTTTGAATCAAAAGGACACTTAGAAGAATTTAGAGAATAGAACATTGCTTAGTTTTAGACTATTTTTTCTATATTAAGCTACTTAATATATTGAGAACTTTTTGCTTTCAATAATTGTTGATGTCATTTATCAAGGTTTACTACTAGAAGAACATTTTTTGTCGAAGAAGAAATTAAGAGATGCTAAACCAGGGGCTGAAGAGACAGTACTGTGGATTGCGTGTTTGTTTTCCCATGAGTGACACGGGTTCAAATCCCAGCACCCCACTAGTTCCCCACCAGGAGTGACTCCCTGAAGGAAGAACCAGGAGAAAATCCTAGATACTGCCAGGTGTGATCTCAAAATCCAAAAAAGAAATGCTAAACCTAAAAAAAGTTTCCCATGTGTAGTATTTATGGATTTATTAATTCCCCAAAAGCACAATTGCTCATTTGTGATTTTAAAAGTTTTATCGAGAAAAAAATTACTTCATAGTTTGTTAAAGAATCGGACAATTTAATCTGTCAGTATTCTGCCTGTAAATCTAAGGTAAAAAAAAATATTTTATTTGGCCAACTGGACTTAGCATATGATCCTTAGGAAGAGAGACAGAAAAAATGTTAGAGAATATTCTATATTTGCAAGTGCATCCAGATCTTTTCATGTGCACATAGTTAATATTTTATCATAACTGAGTTAGTACACTGAAAAACAAAGCCACAAAAATTTTGATCTGCAACTAAAAGTATTCCAAAGCAGTGATTTCAGGGCAGTAACTGAGTTAATAAGCCTAAAGGAAATTAATAACAAAGACACTGATAGCTGACTTTCCAGAATATTAATTTTGAGAACCAAGGGCAGTTTTTATAACCTAAATGCTTAAAGTTACTTATGTTTTATTCTTGGAGGCTTTATTATTTTTTTTAATCTTAAGTAAAGAAAATTTTTATCCTTTTAGCATTAGATAAATTAGGGTACTTGTACCATTTCTCAATTTCATGTCATTTCTATTTAACTTTGAGGAAGATTACTGCTCCATACGCAAATTTTCATACGCCAATAGAAAGTTGGACATTGTGCTATAAATAGCTTTCAAAGGGCAGTTAGCTTACTTTGTGGCCAAAATCATTTGCAAGATGCTGCAAGCAGTCTAAAATCGGTTTCCTTGGTCAAAATAGCCCTCATCCCAATGTATGACTTTGACAACTCAGGTGGCCCCATCACTGCTCGACAAAGCGATTCGCGAAGACTACAAAAGCCAAGGCTGCTCTCCCGAGATGGCTTTCACCGCTGCAATTCGATAACTTCATTTCAATCTCCTAACTTCCCGGGTTCTGCCAGGGCCAGTCGAGAGCCACCATCTCCACCCACCCCATCCCACCAACTCGACCTAGGCTCACAGCGTCAAGAGTGGACAGTACTGCCTGAGTCCCCAAAGAAATAGCCTCTCACCGGCCGCCCGGCCCAGGCCCTCTTGCAACCTCACACCCCTTTGCTCTGCTCCTCACCAGCCCGGATCTCAGAAAATTCCGCAGCACAAGCGGCCGGGAGCGAAGCGCGCCTGGCAGCCGCGGGCACAGCATCAGCGTGCCGGGCGAGGGGCCCCGCGCCCCCGGGCAGCCCCTTCTCACGGCCTCAATGCAGGGACTTCATCTCCACGCGGCCCTCCCAACGCCCATCCCGCAGCTGCAGCGACCGTCAATGAAAGTGCAATTTGTTCGCTCCCGGCCCCATGGAGGGGTCCCTGCTCCGGGGGTCGGTGCCAGCCCCCTCATTCAATTCGCTCCATACCGGGTCTCACTGCTGGCCACGGGAGTCGCCGGCGGGCGCAGAACGACACTCCGGTGACCTCCCCCTTGGCCCCGGTCCTGGTGCGTGTGTGTCTCTGTCTCTATCTTGGTGTCTCCGCGTCTCCCTTTGTGTCTCTGCTTCTCCGGCTGTTTCTTTTTGCGCGCGCGCCACCACACACGCACACACACACGCACACACATGCATACACACCCCGGACGAAGCTCTCTAGCCACCAAAATGTCACCTCAAAAACAAGTGCAACAACTTGCTTCGCCAACGACCCAGCAGTCGGAGGCGAGATCCCCTCCGTGGCAGCCCCCGCCTCCCCTGCAAGGTGCATTCAGGGTTGAGGTGCAGGGGGCGTGTGAAATTGGCCGGGATGACGGGTAGCGGGGTTCGGCTCCCCTCCCCCATCCCGGACCCTGGCGCAATTGAAAATCCGTGCCCCCCCCCCCCGCCCCTAGGGAGGAGCCGCGACCACCGCCGGCCCAAGAGGCGCGCCCACGGCCCTGGGTTCCCGGGGTGCCCCGGGGACGGGGTGGCAGCAGCCCCCCGCGTGCGCCCCTAGCCCCGCGTTACCTGGCCCGCAGTCCGGCCTCGCTCCGGGCGTCGCTCCGTCGGTCCCGCGAGCCTCAGAGTGGGGGGGCGACGAGGGGGGGGGGACCCCGCTGCGAAGTGCGGGCAGGGAGCCGAGAAGCCGCCGCGGCGGCCGCTGGGGCGGCGAGGCTGGGCCGGCCACCCGCCCGGGTGCAGGTTAAGGCGCGGGGAGGAGGAGCCCGGCGGCCCCCGCCCCACCCCCGCGCCCGCAGCCAACCGCGCGCAGCTCCCGGCCTCTCCCCGCACGTGCGCCCGCGCCCCCGGCCTGCGGGCTGGGCCGTGGGCGGCAGCTGCACCGCCGGGGCCCGAGCGCCGAGCCCCGCATCCCGGGATGCAGCCGGAGGCGGCCGGCTGCGGTGGGCGTGCCCCGGCCGTTCCCAGGCGCAGCTCCGCCGCCCCGGCTGCCAGCCCGGCTCCAACCGCGTCTCAAAGAGGGGAGACGGGAACTTCCAACAGTTCCTCTAGCGGGAGAGCAAGCGGGCGGCCGCCGCCGAGGGGCGCAGCAGGCTGGTCGACCCATCTCCAGCCCCTACTTGGATTGTTAAGAAGCAGTCTCCCGGGGAGAGAATCCCCGACTCACCAGGACCCACTTTCCAAGCCATCTTGGTTACTTTCGAGTGTTACTCCTCAGCGCCCCGGTCTCCCTGTCTTGACAAAGACCGGGCTGGAAGACTGAATTCGATGACAGAACATGTGTGTATGTGCATAGGGGGTTTTGTGTGCATGCAGGCATGTGTGTATGCGTGCATGTATATATGTATCCGGGCATGCATGTATTCTGCTTACCTACAGATAATTTAGAAACGTGCGTCCCATTTCCTCCTGTCCACTGACCTCAGGGAACTAACTCCTACCCAAGTGCATTTTGGAAGCCAGTCCCAGTCGCATAAACTAAAGGACCCACCGCATCTCTACGTGCTCTGAAAATAGGAAAAATCCACGTGACTTCAAAGTAAGAATAGAGATAAATGGTGTGAAGAGGTGAACTGAGATGTGGGTCAGAGAGAGAGAAAAAAGCCAGTCAAATTACAGAGAGTTGAGCTCCTGCTGTAGCTACTGAAATACAAGTGTTCTGGATGATAATCGTTAAGATAATCAGGGTTAATCATCATATTCCTGTTGCCTTCTACTCAAAAAAGAATGTGTATTTGAATGGAGAATGCTCTTTGTTCTATAGCTCTCAGACAGAACATTATGCCCAAAAAAGTATACAATCTTCTTTATGTAATTGTATCTATAAAGTTAGAGCATAAAATTTAGCATCTGCTTTGTGTGATAGCTAATTATAAATATTAATAGAAAATTCTTTTTAGAGAAAACACTTCTGAAAATGCAAAGAAGTGATAGACAGTTCCATAAAAATATGACTCAGATAAATAATCGCTTTTCTGCTACTTCACTGAGTGATTTTCCATTAAAAAGAAAAGAAATATTTAAACCGCGAAACATTGAGAGGTAAATTCTCTCAGTATTAACTATCCCCATTGCCAACACTTTAACAAAGCTCTAAAAGATATTCTCAAACAATTCAAGTGACTATTTAGAACACCAACCTTCAGATAAGTTGCCACCAAAAGACAAGGCACAGTCATAAATAAAACTGCCTTATAACCTGAAAAAAAAAGAAATTACCTTGCCGTCCAGATTTGTAAATATATTTAAGCCATTGAATTTTTAATGAAGTGGAATTCAGGGGTCTGCTGATATTTTATTTTAGCCCAGCTGAAGTTATTTAAAACTTCTATTATTTTTCTTTGTTTGTTTGTTTGGGAGTGCTGGAAGTGCGCAGGGGTTCAGTTCTTACTCCTGGCTCTGCACTCAGGAATTATCACTCCTGGTGGCTTTCTGGTAGACCATATACGATGCCAGGGATCAAACCCCGAGCCCATGTCATCTGATTGCAAGGCCCCATTCACTCTACTATTCACTATACTGTGGTCCCTATTTAAGATTTATAACTTCAAGTATTATAAGAAATAAATTCATATTACTTAAAGCCACCAAAATTTTATTGATCTCTAACAATAACGATATGAATTTTATATAGAAAGATGCCTTACCCTTGATAATGCCCTGTCCCAAAAAGCACTTTATCTTAGTAGTCGGTGGCATGAGAATCACCTGGTATGAAAAATTTCTTTACAAGAAACACAGAAAGGTTCATATAATTCTGGGGAATAGAAAAGCACTTTAAATCACATAAGGTTCCTATATAGGAATTTTCATTTTCCTTATTAGATTACATTGTGATATTCTTCCTACATTACACATTACACCATCAGATAATTAAATGGGTCTATGAGAGAAGAAAAGACTTAAGGGGAACCTGAATGGTAAGTTTGACAGTTTGTTCAACATTAACAGCACTCTCATTCATTTTCATAGTTTTAAATACCATTTAAACTATGGTTTAGAGGGTCAGGGAGATAGTATAGTGGGTAGGGTTCTTGCCTTGCACACAAGTGACTATGGGTTTTTTTCCTGGTAACCCCCCCAACTCCCCATACTGTCCTCTGAGCCTGCTACAATTGATCTCAGAGTTCAAAGCCAGGAGCAAGCTCTGGACACCACCAGGTGTGGGTCAACAGATAAAAACTGTCACTGTCACTGTCCTCTCATTGTTCATCGATTTGCTCAAGCGGGCCCAGTAACATTGTGAGACTTGTTATTGTGTTTGGCGTATCGAATACATCACGGGTAGCTTGCCAGGCTTTGCTTTGCAGGCAAGATACTCTCAGTAGCTTGCGGCGCTCTCTGAGAGGGGTGGAGGAATCAAACTCGGGTCAGCCATGTTGGAACAGATAAAAATAAAAATAAATTTTTGAAAAATGATAGTTCAGCCTTTTACGTAGATTTCATAAAGATGTGCTGGGCAAACCCATCTGAAACTTCCATAGGTGCCCACATTTTAACAAGTTCCAGTTAAACACATCAGCTCCTAAACTTGCCTCTCACTCAGTTGTGTTTCTTTCCCTATTATTATAAGTATATTTATTGTGGTTTCTTCCCCTAGACACCAATACCATAAATCTCCAAGTTATTTTAGGCTTCTGCACTCCACAATCACTTATAAGCCATCACTTAGCTTTGCTGACTTTTACTATCTGAATTGATGTTAAATTGTTTCTGTATTTCTATCTTTGTCATGTATTCTTTTTTTGTTTGTTTGTTCATGATGTGGGAATTGTATTTCTTTCTTTTTTTATGAGACATCATGAGGTACAGTTGTAGACTTACAAATTTTTGTGCTTGGGTTTCAATTATACAATGATCAAATACCCATCCCTCCACCAGTGCCCATTTCCCACCACCACGGATCCCAGTATCCCTCCCACCCCCCATCCCCCTATCCCACCCTGCCTCTGTGGCAGGGAATTCCCTTTTGTTCTCTCTCTCTTATTGGGTGTTGTGGTTTGCAAAAGAGGCAATGGGTGACAATCATGTTAGGTCTATATTCTACTTTCAGCATTTGTCATGTATTCTTATCAATCTTTACCTTTCCACCTCTAAGTTATTTATCCACCCAATTTCTTTCTTTTCTCCCAGAATTGCCTCCTTTTTATTGCAGCAACAGTGGTCTTCTGAATATACAACTCTATCCATGTAACTACAATATTTATCTAAAGTTAGCGACTTAAAAAGTTATAAAGTTTAACTTCTTATAACGGCATGGAAGACTTTTCATAAATTTGTGTTTATTTCCTTCGCAGTCTCTGTTCCCCTGATATATATGCATTTGTATATATATATATATTCGATATATATACACTATGCTTCAGTAAATCAGGATGCTGCTTATATCATTCACATAACATACTCTGAAATATAGCCATTGCTTTCTCATCTATTCTGTCTTTAGAATGCCTTCTCTTTGCTTTTGATAGCTAAAATTTATTTATCTGTCAAAGTTTCCTTCAGTGTGTCTATGACTGAATCGTTAAGTTGAATTAAATATTCCAGTTCTCATTTTGCCTTGTCATTATATCAAATTTTTACCATATTATATTAAAATTTTCAGATTATCTGTGTTGTACTTTTGAGATAACTACCACCCTTTATATCCCTTATATGTATCATAGTAATTACCTCTTATTAAAAACATAACATTTGTGAGTTGGAAATAAGCTTATTTTTAAACATATTTTGAGATGTCTGTATACATCTTAATATAATTTAGCAGAAGCCTAGTGATGTAATATAACCTGTAGCCAAATTTTCACTCCCAGTTTTATTAAATGGAAAATTGTATTTTTCATACGAAACAAATACAAAAAGTACTGATAACATATGAAAGTAGTGTTTAGTTTTTCTTTTCAATAGTCAAACCAATAAATGTAAAGTGTTGTTACCAACAAATGCTTTTTAGTGAACACATTTGCTTTTAATTAATTTAAAATTCTATTCAAGATGCAAATGAGGAATGCAATTGATTTAGATTCTCCTTCAACCGCTCTTTTATATGTCATTCTTGTTTGCAGATTAATCTCTACACAATACCCCTTCATCTTATCTTCTCCCTCACACTCCCCTTTATATTTTACCCAGGGCTATGTGGCAATCTGGCTTTGTTCTTATAAAGGTAGTCTAATTATGCCTACAATAAAAAGTTCCTTTGTATTTCCTATTCCCTTGACC